CCTGAACTGTAGCTGCTGCAACCTCCCTGACACGGTAGGAACGATGATCCTGCCGCACGGCTTCCACCTCCAGTGCATGGGTCAAGGCGTCCTTAAGCGTCTCGTGGTGCCCGAGCCTCACAGCAGCTCTGACTTCAAGATCGCGGATGCCATCGATGAATGTCTGCACCAGGTTCCCTACAATGAGCGCAGGTACAGACTGGTACGCTTTTCGAACCAGCTTCTCCACCTCAAGGGCCCACTGCTGCAGGTTTTCGTTACTGCGTTGCACGCGATCTTTGAGCTGCGCACGAAAGACGTGTTCCAGGTGAGCGTCGCCATATCTCGCCTCCAATGCCTCAAGGAGCTGCTCGTAAGTCACTTCCTTACCGAGAGCTTCCAGAACATTTAATGCCTGGTCGCGCAGGCCTAGGGTGAGAGCAGTCATGGCCTGACTTTTATTCCAGCCGTTCGCTTTCATGACAGCCTCGAACTGGATTTTATAGGCCGACCAGGAAGAAGTCCCGTCGAACGGTGGCACTTTGAATCCACGTAGCGAAGGTGTTGTAGCTACCACGGGAGCTGTAACTCCATCCCCAATTTTGAGATCGTTCAGCGTTTTCTTCACGTCAGCCATCACATTGTCAACCCGATTGTACACTTGGTCGATTCGGGTTTCAGCTTCCGACAGGCGGTTGTCATATTGAGCAACCTTATCCTTCACCTCACTTATTTCTTTCCCGAAGGTAGCGTGAAGGTCCTTCATGAGAAGTATCTGCTCTTCCTTATCGCGTTTGAGCTGCTCTTCCAACCGACGGCCCTGTTCCTCCTGTTGGCGGGCTTGTTCCTCCTGTCCACGCTGCAGCTGCTCTTCCAACCGACAAGCCTGTTCCTCCTGTCGGCGGGCCTGTTCCTCCTGTCGGCGGGCCTGTTCCTGCAGCATCATCATCAGAGTACCTAAGTCAGGTGCTGCAGATGCAGGAGCTGCTGACGGGCCGGACCCCGTGGTCGGCAACTGGCCTGCCGACGTCTGTAACGTTGCACCACCAAATCGTCTCTGGTCCGTCTCCTGTTGGCGTTGACTTCGGGTACGGATACCCTCGGTGTCGTCTTTAGGTAAAATCGGCATATTTGATCCCACTTCTGACACCAATTGTTACGAGTTTGGGGTTTGAGACAATTAAAAACTGCCGATTGAATTACCAAAATTGACACTTTAATTACACAACACTAATTATAATCTAAAATCATACTAATAATAAAACACAGTTCGCCGTTATTTCGCTTCGAAGTATTCTCTTGTATCGCCAATTCAATACTGCCTCGGTCGTGGTCTATACCGGCCTTATATAGGGCCTCAGATAGTTTCCAGAATCTTCTACTGTAGCGACATCTAGAATGTTCGAGTACATATCGGTCCCGAAATTTCTGGAAGGATCTTGACTCTCCTAGTTCTGCTACTCGACACTAGAGGGCGCTAGTGTACCTAGTGTTGCCATGTACAAGACATTAATAGTGGCACGCAATACTTTCATTTACTCGACACTAGGGGGCGCTAGTGTAACTAGTGTTGCCATGTACAAGACATTAATAGTGGCGCGCAACAGTATTTATCTATATGTTTATTTTTGCATTCATTGTATTTAGTTGTTTCACGTTTGTCTAAAGTTTCCATGCAATTCTTATAATCAAATGTCGATAAAACTGTCTTTAGATCACTGGACGATTTGTCTATGGTTTTATTAATGAAACATAGATCGGTACGTTTTTGATGAATCACCGTTATTAACAATTTTTTGCTTGCCTGATTTAAGATCTTAGCGCTTCCTCGAATGTCTTTTTTAGTAGATATCTTGACACACGTAGGAATGAGATTATGGTCTCTGCATCTCTTCAAGAAGTTTAAAGCTGTTATGTATCTTGCGCGCTTGGTTTTGAGATCTTCTAGTCGGCGTATTTTATTTGCTATTTCCAGTCCGTACTGGTTTACATAATGATTTCTTATATTTACGCGAACACTACACATTGAATAAAACTATTTTTACGGATTTTATCGCGTTTAATTTACTTATTTTATATTCCCGACGTTTCGGTTGCTTTCCAGCAACCGTGGTCACGGGGGACTGTGGTGATTGACGTCCCGATGTCAAAGTTAACCCGGAGTACCTTCAGCTTTTTAATTATTAATTTTGGTCCGATCTACGCAGAATGAACTAACTGTGTCTTGAAGTCTTACAGTGGTATGCTTGGGTTTAGTTTTAATTTTATGAATTACAGGATCCCAAGCAGGTGGTAGTACCCAGCCTCCCTCTCTATTGAAATTAGGATGTTTTTTAATTTCAATAGCCTCACGTATCATCCTTGGCAGGAATCGATGTTCTTTCGCGAGGACTTGTGGTTTATCAAATCTAATGTAATGACGGGGGCCGTCTAGGATATGATCACAAACTGCAGACTTCCCGGAACGTTGGTGCTTCACGTCAGCTATGTGTTCTTTTACGCGGGTTTTTATTGATCGTTTTGTTTGCCCTATATATGAGAGACCACACTCACAATCAAGCTTGTATACTCCTGCATCTTGTAGAGGAATATTGCACTTGACGGATGGTAAGAACTGACTAATCTTCTTCGGCGGCTTGAAGAATGTTCTAATAGAAGCTCGCTTCAAGATGTAGCCAATCTTATCTGTGACACCTCTGACATATGGTAGTACAGCAGGATTCATACCATTTTGTCAGTGAGATAAAAGACCTATGTCTTACTGACAATGAAACTATGGTCAGTTTTGATGTTCAGTCTCTATTTACATGCCTACCTGTTGAAGACTGCATCTCAATTATAACTAGGAAACTAGAGGAAAACAACATGCCAGCAGAATATGCAGTATTACTCAGACATTGCCTTACATCTGGCTACCTATTGTGGAAGGAACAGTTTTACAAGCAAGTAGATGGTGTTGCGATGGGCTCACCGGTATCTCCCATTGTCGCCGATATTTTCATGGAGGACTTTGAGGAGAAAGCCCTGCTTACTGCACCAGTAACTCCAAGTTTCTACAAGCGGTACGTAGACGATACTTTCACAATTTTACCATCAGACAAAGTAACTGCATTTTTAGAACATCTTAATTCCATAAACTCTAAAATTCAATTTACTATGGAGTTAGAGGCAAATAATTCTTTAGCTTTCCTAGATGTGTTAGTCATTCGAAATCCTAATAACACCGTAGGTCACACTGTGTATAGAAAAAAGACCCATACAAACCGATACTTAAACGGTGAATCCCACCATCACCCTTCACAGTTAGCTACCGTGGGCAAATCTTTGTTGCAGAGAGCACGAGGGATCTGTGACAGCAAACACCTGGCCGCCGAGCTTCAGCACGTCAAGCAGGTTCTGCACGACAACAAGCTTCGGGTTCCGCGCCTACGTCACAGTGACCGAGTGAAGCCGGCCACAGTCGAGCGTGTGCCTGCTGTACTACCATATGTCAGAGGTGTCACAGATAAGATTGGCTACATCTTGAAGCGAGCTTCTATTAGAACATTCTTCAAGCCGCCGAAGAAGATTAGTCAGTTCTTACCATCCGTCAAGTGCAATATTCCTCTACAAGATGCAGGAGTATACAAGCTTGATTGTGAGTGTGGTCTCTCATATATAGGGCAAACAAAACGATCAATAAAAACCCGCGTAAAAGAACACATAGCTGACGTGAAGCACCAACGTTCCGGGAAGTCTGCAGTTTGTGATCATATCCTAGACGGCCCCCGTCATTACATTAGATTTGATAAACCACAAGTCCTCGCGAAAGAACATCGATTCCTGCCAAGGATCATCGTGAGGCTATTGAAATTAAAAAACATCCTAATTTCAATAGAGAGGGAGGCTGGGTACTACCACCTGCTTGGGATCCTGTAATTCATAAAATTAAAACTAAACCCAAGCATACCACTGTAAGACTTCAAGACACAGTTAGTTCATTCTGCGTAGATCGGACCAAAATTAATAATTAAAAAGCTGAAGGTACTCCGGGTTAACTTTGACATCGGGACGTCAATCACCTCAGTCCCCCGTGACCACGGTTGCTGGAAAGCAACCGAAACGTCGGGAATATAAAATAAGTAAATTAAACGCGATAAAATCCGTAAAAATAGTTTTATTCAATCCACTACCCTGGATTATCCTTTGGGTGTCGTAAGAGGCGACAGAGGGAAACAAATCAGGAGATGGGCAGCAGCGTCTTCCTAACAACGCCTTAAAATAAAAAAAATTGTCGATGCTAACATGCCTGCCAAGCGCGGCAACTATGGCAATATATACCCCCTACGAGGCAATCTATGGTGGTAGCCTATGTTCAGCAGTGGACTTTCATAGGCTGTAATGGATGTCTTGAAGATAATCTACCAGGAGCACATACAGCACTGAGAGGTGAAATTTTCAAATCAACAGTAACATTACAACTATGGCAAATATCCCCCCTACGAGGCAATCTATGGGGGAGGCCTATGTTGTCAGCAGTGAACTTTAATAGGCTGTAATGGATGGATGTATAGAAGATAATCTACCAGGAGCGCATGACCCACTGAGAGGTGAAATTTTCAAATCATTCAATCAAACAGAAACATTACAACTATGGCAAATATCCCCCCTATGAGGTAATCTATGGGGAGGCCTATGTTCAGCAGTGGACAGGCTGTAACGGTAACGGTTTCATTTAGGTAATTTACTAATTAATTATCATGTTAAATGAAATGAAAGTGTGGTCCTTTTCTTTTTACGAAATGTTTTGTTGCCAGAAACTTACTGTTCTATTCTCGTTTCGTATGTTTCACGAAACACTAGCTATACACTTGATATATATTACTGTGATGTTTTTGACGTAGTTCTTGGTCCAACCGATTTTAGAACCGAGCCATCTTGGATCTAACTCAGGCTTTCTTTATCGCAAAACTATTGGTGTAGAAAGTTTATCGAATATTGGCTGTGGCCTACAGTTAACTGTTAAACTTGAAATTGTTTAGGTATGCCACCAATGGGTATGGGCCCGCGTGGTGCGTGGTCCGGTGGGGGCGGAGGTGGCGGGGCTGCGCCCCTCAACTACAGCGGGGGCTCGCCCGGCGCCTACGGGGCTCCGCCGGGCTCCAACGGGCCGCCGGGGCCGCCTACACCCATAATGCCGAGCCCGCAGGACTCCTCAAACTCGGGTGAGTAGGTTTGTGTGGCGCTGGTTTCGACGTTTGGATGGTGAACGGTTTTTTGGAATGCAATAAACTCCATGAACGCATACTTGAATAAAAAATAAAATAACTTAAATGCATATTTAATAATCAATGTTTTATAATGATCAGAAAACCGATTACCAAACAAATATTAACATTCAAAGTGAAAATTGTATGATATTCCGATATAATTTAAGCGGCAGGCATTTTGTTTTTAACTGTCAAAGATATTTCAATTACGACTTTCAAATATCTTTAATACATATTGTAGAAATGCGGAGGTAACAGAGAAATAATTTTACACTGAAAATGCGCTTTTATTAATTAAAGATTTTTCACGCCTATAATTTTGCCTAATTTAGTTAATTTATGTCTATTTAAATATGGCGTAGACATCGCTTACATATAATTTTTTTTTCAATATATTATTGAGATGAAGGATTGTAATAATGCCATCTCTTTCTGAATAATGTTTTGTAGGAAAATCGTACATTTTTCACTTGCCGCATTTAATCCTCTGAACTAATAATTAAACACTTCAACGTTTGTTCGTCTGTCCGTCCAATTTATAATTATTGTAATTTAGAAGTTCGCAGGTGTATACCGTAACATCACTAATTCGGCAGGTATTTAACAATGCACTTATTTAGACTCCATTATCGCAATTATGTGACAAACTTGCATCTTTAAAATTTAATTTAATTTAGCTAAAATTGCTGTATTAGTCTGCCTGAAACTACATGTCAAAGTGGCTTTATATTTTGTAAAACCATTTATTAAGAAAGTAATGTACATTAAATATACTGTTGTTCGAACCTATTAGCCGGAATTTTTATTTAATTCTGTATTTCCTTGAGTTTTAATGAATTCATTTTGTATGTGACGAATTATTTTAAATAGTAACGTGCATATCACTCGCAGTCTCGATATCGATATATCGATACTTCAGTTCTCAGAATATGGCTGTGGTGAAATTCAAATAATGTATTTTGCACGCACTTTTTTGAAACACTGCAATATATTAAATAAAATAAGTAAGAATAAGAGAAAAAATTAATAAAGAGCTATTAAGAAAGAAAAATATGTGATTACAAGTGGTAAAATTAAAAATTTTGTACAACCCACTTCAATATAAATAAAATGAGATGTTCTCATTACATCATTCATCCATCATCGAAGTCAGAAGTTAAATACGCATTATTAAGGATACCTCAAAAACTACTAGTCGGATCTTGATCAAATTTATATGGGGCCACATGAGAATCTCCAGCTCTATAGTAAAATAAAGAATTATCAAAATCCGTTCACCGAGAAAAAAGTTTTGAAGATACACACATACAACACTAATTTTAAAAAAACAGTTGAATTGAGAACGACCTCCTTTTTTGAACTCGTTTGAAAATTTTAATGAATGAAACTTGAAAATATCAGATATCATCAACACTGCAAGACTACATACTTAAATTTTCGAAAATACCAGAGATTATTCGCATAGCTAGACTTTTATGCGTTCCTAATTATTTTTGTTTCGAATTCCTAATTATATATTCATCTTTGATAAGTCAGGGCTGACTGGTAGAGAATGCCATAAAGCATTAAGTCTTTGAAACCCTTACTTGAATTAACTATCGATATCTTTCCAGTACATCTCTACAGATGTTAGTTGATGGAAATATATGCATAACCTATGGAAAATGCTTCGGAATTGAAATGTTGACTAAATATATGTGATATATAAGGAGTACGTAATTTTAAGAGTCCGCTGCCGAACAGTTCTAAATCCCATAGGAATTATTTTCAATACAATACCCTAAATATTTGGCAAATGATATGGTTAATTCGCCATCACGTTTGCTACTACGACACTAAAGTGTTTCTTTTCATGGCATTATTCACAAAACATTTTTTAATTTTAAAAATTGTGCAATGTTTTACAGATGCAAGTTTGAAAAAAATGTCACCTTCACTGTTTTATTTCACAAACCCTTACCTTTTTCTCACAAAAAAAAAGTATTTTCTTTTCTCTTGGTTCTTGCTTCATTCTCGCTTAACCTTGTTTCGTACGCGCTTGGGGTCACCTCTGTGGCTTACGCTTTTTTACTTTCTTTATTTAGATGTGAACGAATATTTGTTTATTATGTGTCTCGTCTTAGTGCTTAAGATGGCTTACCAACTAGATGCAATGGCCTCAAAATTAAATAAAAACTGAGCATTGTCTATGGTCAATTTTTAATATCGAAATGTTTAAAAATGGAATTCGTGATGTTTGTTAATCATTATTTGTTTATTAATTTACTAATTTGAATTTAATACATCAGTTTAATAGATGACCTTTGGATTTTTGATGAATTACGTAGACAAACGTAAACGATTAATATATTTTTTATTCACCAATAAAACAGAACAATATTACGATTAGGTTTTTCATCTGGTATCTAAATCTGTATATATTTATCGGTGTACAAAAAATTTAAATAAGTTCAAAGTTCATGTTTTACCCCACGTATGATTTAAAAGAAATCCTAACAAGTTACAGTTCATTTATAGTTATTTCTATCTTATTAATCTCATAAAATGTCTTCATTAGTGTTTCGGTTGTTTCTTGTAACATATTTTATTAATATAAATTAATAAAAACTCATGTTTCTAAATTTCCATCATTACTTCGGGCATTATATCATTATTATTAGGTCTCAGTTGCTAGTTGGGAAGTTGGAGTATGTCTCAAAATTATCGGCACCGGTTAGAAGTCATAAAACAGAATCAAATCGCAAGCGGACGGCAAGTTAACGGTTTCTTACTGCGATGTTAACGGTTTAACATTACGGTGTAAGATTTTTGACACATTGGAGGCGGCACCGGATTCGTAACGTTGACCAAAGACTAAATAAAAATTACGTAGATTAGACACAGATAAAGAATAAGCATCTAAATTTGTAGGCGGCCAGATAGAAAAACACGTAAGAGATTTGATAGGTTTTATGACTTCTGATTGTGGTGGTATATTAATTACCATGATAATTTTTTTTTATTAAAATCAACTGAAAATAAAAATAAAATGAAAATAATAATAACAATTCATTTGGTCATGATTAAAAATTATCTGTTATTGGTTTATTTGTGTTCACCAAAAACTATCTTTAAGTCAATTTAGTTTATAATTCTTGTTAATGACTGTCACCTGGACAAAAATATGACTTTTAACAACCACATTGGTCGTTGTGATTTCACATTAAATAAATATGCAATGTCAAAGACGAGCATTGTCGTGTTATATTAGTTTTTGGGCGGGTCCATATACCTGCAATATTGAACGAAATAGTGACGCCGTGTACCGCGACAGGCGGTGACAACATGTACACCCTGATGAAGCCAGTCGGCGCGGGAGCCCTAGGGGCGGAGTTCCCGCTCGCGGGCGAACACGGGCCTGCGCCGCAGCACCTGCCGCAGCCGCCCGCCTCCGAAGGTGGGGCACACTATACCTTCGGCACTATAGATTAAAAATAGTTTTACTAACCGACACCTGCATAGATACAGTTTATGTTTTTCCATACCGCACGTGTCATCACTACGTAATTTCTACTTAGTCTTTTGGTGTGTTTGTATCATTGCAAATTATTTTACAAGTTGTATTATTTAAGAGTTCAACGGTCTTTTTTTTTAAATCGAGTGATTAGTTTCAGAGTGACAAATTGTTTTTTTTTTTTGTATTTATATTTTTATTTGATCTATTTTAGCTAGGCAGAAGGTAGTTTTAACATATTGTGTAAATAATTAGGTCACTGTCTGTCTTGTCTATATAAAGTATAGATTTGAGTATACTTATTTATGAGGAATACTGACGAAAATTCATATAATCTATTTTTTCGTCGATTAAATGTTTTTACGAGAATAAAAAAACAGTATACTAATAATATCAAACAACATTTCCTATTTTAAATAAAAAAAGGAAAATAAAATCTTAAAATTAAAAGTAGTTTGTTTAAATTTTGGTAGTAATCATTTGTCCACTTTTTCAAAAGTAAATTTCAAATAAATATGTAGAAGAAATCATTAAGAAATTAACACAGTAAAAAAAAAATATATTTTAATTAAAAAAAAAAACATGCGTACAGTTCACATGTGGTAAAAGTGAAACCTTTATATGAAATATAAAATAAAAATATTTCACGGCAAATCATTTATTTAATATGATCATTTTCAACCACAAGTGCGGCATTAAAATATATGATAAAAGTTTAATTTACAATCCTATTAGACTTAATTTTAGTGTAATAAATCAAAAGTATATTTTCTTTGGAGTAAAGTTGTTTTGTAATAGCGCCATCTACTTCTTTGTATAGGTAAACTCATTTATCGAACAAAAATTTATTGTCTCTTAAGGTGGTACGTAAAATAGACGCTAGATGATGGCTTGAAGTTATGAAATCGTGGATTGGTATATTAAGAAAATTTTATTCAATATGGTAAATTTTATTTGTTTAATGAATTTGTTAAATAAAATAAATAAATAATTTAATGTTATTTTCTAAAAAACAAACAAAAAAGACAGTAATCGAATGATGGATTCGATCCCACAATCTTTTGCAGGCGGTTTGTCTCTTTTAGTGTCGCTTTTTCGTTTCAACGAGTTTCAAATTACAACAATTTTTAAGAAGTTTTTATTTCAATAAAACACATTTTATAATCTGTTAGCGTCTGACAAATCAACACGAATTTTAGCTACGGAGTTTATGTTTAATTGCTATAAATGGTAATCATAGAAAAGTCAGGATTATGGTGGGAACTTAACTTCCGACGGCTTGCTGCTCTTGTATTATCGTTTAAAAGTCTATCTTATCTGGTTTGAAGTGGATTTTGATACGATATGATATGATTGTGCGTTTTTTTTTTGTATTTAATGCCTGCGCTCGTGAACTATTAGTATCACGTATTAAGTGCAATAGTGACATAAACTTTACAATGTTAAACATCAGCACATTTTGAAGAATTTTGGCAAAATACCTACACTTCAGGCTAGGCTCTATGGGCATAAACACTTGCCCTACATAAAATATCAACATGAAAAAAAAAACATGTAATCGACGTCCTGTAGACTGTAGTGCCTTTTTAGTTATTTTGGTCGATTATGTATATTTTGATATTATAATTGAAACTTTTTCGCATTATATAATTAAGGAGAATGAAGCAAACTTTTTCGATTTTGATCGTCCGTGGGAATAAAGACAGATTAAACGCTTTAAAGAGTTTTCTACTAATTTGTTCAAAGAATGTTTTAAATGTTGTATATAAGCTTTGCCTTCCGTAGTATACTTTTTTGTCAGAGAATCCTATTTTTATTATATTATAATTATGTATTTTCTTTATGTGATTATCAAGAACAATAAAGATATTTTTTAAATAAAAAAGAGTTTTAAAAATGAGTTTATTTAAATTATATGCAATTAGACCATCCTAATCGAACAATATACACGACTCTTAATTTCGAAAGATGAGTCCACAGATTATAGAATACTTTTGCGTTTTACTTTTTCTGGTAACTTTTATTTTATAATATTCTCCTTATCCGTTTCGTCATTATATTTTTAAAATTTGGAAAATACAAAAGTGCACACCTCGAACGCTCATGTAATGTTTTGAATGATCAATTTACTTTTATTAATTACCGAGACACGTATTACGTTTAAAGCTACAGAAAAAAAATCTATTTAATTAATACGAAATTTTTTTGACTGCTTGAAACCGGTGATTCGTATTTTGGTACCCAAAGAAATTGTCAAATAATTAATCATCATCATCATTGCAGCCCTTCACAAGTCCACTTTTGAACATAGGCCTCCCCCAAGGAATGCCACAAAGCACAGTCTGGAGTGTTGTTGTTTTTGTCTTGTCACAAATTGAGGCAGAAGATGGGCAGCAGCATCTTTCTGATAACAGCAAAACAACAATAAAACAAATAAAAGCAAAGCAACAATATATAAACCTGGTGTTGAGTGTATCGCGATTTTTTGATTTGGTGCCAATAGACCAGTACATCTCCGCTTCGCGTTCGATGTGTGCAATATATTTCCAAATGTTTTCTTCTGTATTTGACTACTCTGTGGTCCATGAAACGTCTTACGTGCATTTTTATAAAATTGAAAAGTTACTTTTCTTTATAACTGTTAGCCTACGTTTTTCAAGAAAGTTTTTGTGTTTGCTTTTCATTTCATCATACTTTAATGTGGAGTGCGGTTCCTAACATATTATGTATGTTTAAACCTATATATGTATATTAAACGATGACCTAGTTGAACTATAATTTTTTTCCTGTTGCAGTTGTTGACTGATAAAAAGCGTTTCTGCTGAGATCTTAGAAAGGGTAAACTATCTGTTTTTAGTTTATTAAGTGTTCTCTAACCTGTGGACTTATTTTTGATATCAATTACAACGAAAATCGGGAGACATAGTTTTACGCGTCTGGTCCTCTCAAACCGGACAGGACACTGCAAGACTGGTAACTCTTAAACATATATTGTATTGTGAGTTCACTCTGCCAGGATTAGGCGGTGTGGACGGCATGAAGTCATCGCCAGGAGGGGTTGGAGGTGGAGGACCGGGCACGCCAAGGGAGGACTCAGGATCAGGAATGGGAGATTATAACTTAAGTGAGTATTTATGGTTGTAGCTGCTTATTTTGTCGTTGTGTGTTCTAAATATTGCTAATTTATTGGCGTTTAAAAATCCACCGCCTTTTTGGTTGTTGATAACCGTCTCGAATATTCAAATTTTTATCGTCGGTACGCCTGTCAGGCGGTGGTGCTTATGGGAAGTTTTTCGCACTGTGGGAAACGCCCATGTATATAATAAATTTTAATATACTGTGGATGTCTCTCTCTTTAACACTTCACTTCTATCACACCGTGATAAGTCGGCCGAGTTGACTTTATTAAATAAACCAAAGTAGTCGTCTAAGTTAAAAACTGCAAATAATCGATTATTACATTGACTTTTAAAATTAGTAAAGCCTATAAACATCCAATTTCAGTCAGATCCCCGCGTCCCTGCAGGTCTATTCGCTAACTTTGATGACATCACAATGATAGTCACTTTGTAGTGAGTGCATCGCGTCGTACGTTTTACGAGCCGTTGTCGTTCTTACAGAAAAGTTATTTTTTTTATAGAATAAGGGTGACAACGAGCACACGGTCCACCTGATTGTAAGTGGATGCTGTGGCCGTTAAACATCTACATTTATCCTCAATTAAGAATTAATATGCAGATGCGTTGTCACCCCTGAGGACTAAGATGAAATGTCTCGTTTCCAGTAAAAAAGGTCTCTAATTCTCTACACTCATCATATGAAACACAGCAGCATTAAGCTGCTATTTTACGCTGGTTTTCTGTGAGACAACCATAATATAGCTGCAGCGTGGCTCCACCACGACACGCTGCTACGCAATGTACTATAAAGTGGTTATGATTTTGGTGTTAAAGAAGTTAGCGAATAGGCCCGCTGTGCATTAGCGGGGTAACCGTATCCTTTGACATCCATAATCTTCACTTTTTCAAGGTTTTGGAGGTCCCGGAGGTGACCAAAACGATCAAACCGAGTCGGCCGCGATTCTGAAAATAAAGGAGAGCATGCAGGAAGAGGCGAAACGATTCGAAAAGGACCCAGACCACCCGGACTATTTCATGCAATGAACTAAATGCGACGGCCGCCAACTTGCCAAATAAATCAGAATTAGAAATATCGGCGTTGAATTCGTTTTGTTTTGACATTTCTTAATGTCAAAATGTTTGACTTTATTTATTTATTTTTGTATTAAGAGAGATCATATAAAAGATATATAAAAAAACGAAACAAGTTAATAAAATAATTTTGGCGGGAAATGGATGCGTCAATAATACCCTCATTATTTCGAGATTTTTTTATAACGTGTGCAAAAGTGAAATTAATTAAAATATTTAATATTTATCTAAATATGAATATCGTACATTTTAAAAGAACTCGGTATTGTTTATAGCCTGTTTAAAGACTGAAGTATAGTTTATGTACTTAAAAATCTTTAAATTGGCTTTCACTTGAATCATAACTAGAAAATTTCCAATCACTTCGATGCATTCATAAATGGAATCGATGCATTCCACCTGGTCCTCAGGGGTGACAATGCATCTGCATTTTGATTCTTAATTGAGGATAAATGTAGATGTCTATGGACCACAGTTAACCACTTACCATCGGGTGGACCGTGTGCTCGTTTGTCACCCTTATTCTATAAAAAAAAAACAGGAGCAGTTATAAGGACTGCCGACAGAAGTTAAAATTCAATGATATATGCGTATACGTGTACACAGGCCGCTATACGTAGTAGACAAGCTTGTGACGTCACGAGCATGTCGAGGTCATCGGTGACGCGAACCCATAAGTTTTTCCCCTAACAAAAATCGCTCAACGCGGCTAAAGAAGTATTCATTTCAAAAAAAAAAACTATAATAAATAAAAAGAATAAAAGTATGTAACATATTCAAATAGAGTTTGATTAAATTAAGATTTCGATTGTCATAAAAAAATCAGGCGGGAAATATCGACAAAACGCACAGTTCACGTGGTAGCGAAGTGAAAATAGTTGTAAGAATTTAATTAGAAAAGTTTCTATGTATTATGATTTATAATTTAGTTATATGATAGATGTTTTATTTCGAATAAAATTTAATGTATCTATAATGCATAGTGAATGTTTTTAATTTCAGTTCGGGGACAATGGAATACGATTTTGGAACACAATGATTTGTAGCGAGTAGAAAAAATTGACATAAAATGACCTCAGGTCGACAAAGTATGGTAGAAACACTACATACATTTTAAGTGTCGCGAAAACCATACTTAAATTATTGCAAGAACACGCACACACGCACACACGCTCACAACTATCTAAAACTACATTGTATTGATGCCTGTGTGTGGGAGTACGGGTTTGTTTTAAATAATTTGAGTATGGTTTACTCTATGTGGTATTCTGTTTAAAACTTTGTTGGTCTGAGGTGATGACAGATAACATTTGTTATTTATCTAAGAATATGTTTTTAATGTTCATCTTTAATGTATTGATTGTTAGATCGTGTGTTGATCTTTCGCTTTTATAAAATTTTTTTTTCTGTGTACCATAGCTAATTTACTGGCTAAGAATCAAAAACTAAAGTAAACAATGTATGCAGTAAAAAATTAAAAACGAATTACGGACGCTTTTTGTCTGTTTATACATTTTTTTCTATCTCTGTAATTTGTACTTCTATTTATGTAGTTTATAAATGCGTTTCATAGTTGAAGGGACTGTATCTGGTAGCAGTTTAGTGCGAGTAATAAATTTAAAAAAAATCGTGCCTGTCAAGAGACCTGACGGAGTTTATTATGTACTGATAGGCATGGGTAAAAAATATCGATATATCGAAATATCGATATTTTTTAATAAATATATCGTTATATAGAGTATCGAATTCGTATCAATTTCGATATATTTTAAAATGTTGTATCGTGTTTTTCGTCGTCCAACCGTCAGTTGATAAAATTTTGGACCTTATCTTTACATCATTCAAATGATTACGATATATCGATACTGTTTAAAAATATAGATTCGATATATATCGATATATTTTGTCCCTTTGCCCATCCCTATGTACTGAAGCTTCCTTATTTTCTTAAATCATATTACATTTTTCTTTGCGAAGTTCTGTTTTGTGATTCTAAAGTGTAAAGAGTCTTAAACGGTTTTCAGCAATGATAAAAATATCTTCCACGTTTATATTTTAAATTATTTAGCGTACATTTTGTTTTAAGCTCTAATGTTCCTAGATTTGTATTTTTGTTTTAATTCGTAGGATCGTGTCTGATATCTCTCATGAATTCGCGATGCATTTGCCGCCTAGCCGTGTTTTCGTAATGGCGCTCGATTTTGTAAAATTTGACAGTAACAGAAAAATAAAAAAATATGGTCGAATGGGATGATATTAATTTAATTATTAAATATCTCATGCATTTTATTAGTATCATTTTTTATTTATGATTATTTTAAAGGGTAATTAAAATATTTAGTAAAATAAATCTGGATTTTTATTTGAATGCAATTACATATGTAAGTAATTATGTGCCTCCATTTTGCATTAATGAGGCAAATTGATCGCATGTACTTTCACTAATGGAGACGATTTTATTATCTGTACAAATTTTTATAATAATGTATAAACTACTCTGTAACTTTAACTTCTGCAATTTTTAAATTTTAAATTTGCCATATGTGGTTTGATTTTACTCGAAAATTCTGTGTATTTGGTGATTTTTTTTTAAAACGGCTAAAAGGCGTCATTTCAAAAACCGGTTACGATTTGTTCACGATTCCGGTTCGCGATAGAATTTTCGTTCGGGTTGAATTCCTCGCGAACCGGAATTCGCATTTATTCAGGTTAAATAAATTTTACTAATATTTATCACGAGGTGAAAAAATCAGTAGCTGTTTTAGAGGATAGCGCGCGTTATAAGAGTGTCACTATATATTAAAAAAAAAAAAACAAGTATTTATATTGATTTTACTTGATACTTTTAAACGCGCGCAAATACTGCAAATTCGGGAGTTTTTATGGAGGAAAAAAATTTTTATACCAAGATAGATGTGTCGTTGTTTTTTTTTTCACTCTGGTATCTTCATTACTGTAGGTTAGATACTTTATTTTTCTCGGGGTGTATGGAAAATCTGTATAAATTAGTATATTTCTTAGCGAGATTTGGAGAGGTAGGTCTTAAGTTATACTGGGCCGTCTGCCCGATCCGTGACTGCGCAAATTTGGTTTCTTTTAGTGGGAAGCCAAATTAATATATACCTCAAAAATTGCATCTCGATTAACGTTCCGAAATTAAAGTTCTGTTTTATTAATAAAAAAGAAAATGTATATAAAATGAATTTGGATGTGTAACTGTGTTGGCATATTTTCGACGTATTTTTGTTTCTAAAATTATTAAATATATCAATTTTTAGCAAAATTTACACTAAACGGACCCAAAAATTGTAAAATAAAACGCAGTGTTAAATAAAAAAAGATTAGTCTTAAGCAGGGCTCGGAAACCGGTTAAAATTCAAAACCGGTTTCGGTCATTGACCCCAAAACTGATTTTTGCAGAATACCGGTTTTTCACAAATTTCGGTTTAGGTAGTAAGAATTAACCGGTTACAACCAAGTTTTGTAATGCCCCCCTCTCCCTTAACCCGCTTGCACCCATCTTTGTACGGCTGCCTCTGTTTAATTCCCGAGGTTTTTAGACACATGCACGATATACTCATTGCATCAACGCGACTGCCTTGTGACGTACTCCCTCATATTTTTTCATCTTTCAGCAACGATCGTATTATAAATAACAGATGTAAGTTCTGTTTCAATTAATTATGCGTTATCTTCACTTTCAAATTAAGTTTCAACATCAAGTTTAATTTGACGTTATATATTTAAATTGACTTAACTAAGTATATTTAACGTTTTCTATTAAAATTACGCTATGCATCTTTATTTCAATGTCATTAGTTTTAGTTATATATGGCAATAAATGATGAACTTTCTTAACAGAACACAATATTTTTAAAAGTTTATGAAATTATATGTTATAGTATTTTTGTTCTTTTTAGGACTAAAGTGAGGCAGATTACCAGATTTTTGTTTAAATTCAGAAGCTCGTAATTACGACCAACCTCTATCTCCGTCTTTGCAAAATTAATAATGACCACTTCTGAGGTGTAAAGTTTAACTAGAAGTCATGTCTAAACACAATAAAAAATTATTTGTTATATTCAGAGTATTCTAACAAAAGAAATTACCATTTTTCACATCTCATTAATGAGGAATTGGAGCAAATCTTATCATGTTGTGCGTACAAGATGCTAATAAAAATATTAGCTTTTCTAAATAGAGTGCAAGGTAACCACATAGACGAAATTAAATTAACTGATACTGAAATTAATAAAGAAAAATAATTTGAATCTAACGAATCATTTTGATTAAATTCGGCTATACTTTGCTGTCGACTGTAAACAAATACATACACTAAAAATCCTGTCTTTTATTTAAAGCAATTATTAATAACTCCCAATTAACTAGATCATCAGTATAAATCACACTGATATCTACGATCATGTATTGAATTATAAAAGAGAATTATTAAAAGTGCAGCCAAGTTTTCTGACGCCTCAAGATCAAAATAATATAGTAATCACTTTCGAATTTTTTACAAACTTTCATACTTTACGAATACGAAACTATTCAAATAAATAAAATTGAAGTGACTGTTCGTAACGTCAAAATAACAGATTTTTACTAAATACATATCATGAAATTACATAATTTTGTCTGTCTGTATATGGTTACTAGCGCGGCTGTGAATCATGATTTGGTCCTGAGCTTAAATCGTGTCCCAGGTCGTGCCAAGTACCGTTATTGGATTAATTTGGGTATAATGAGTGTTCTAGAAACTATCCTGATAGTCGTATTCAGCCCTCTATCAAGCACTTAGATTTTTCGGTTTTCTCGTCGTACGTTTTCTTATAGAAAAGAGGCCAAACGAGCATGCGGGTCAGGTGATGGTAAGTGACTACTGCCACCCATGAACAACCGCAACACCAGGGGAATTGCAGGTGCGTTGCCAGCCTTTAAGAAAGGAGTGAGCTCTTTTCTTGAAGGTCCCTAAGTCGTATCGGCCCGGGAAAATCACCGGTGGTTAACAATTCCACAGAGAAGTTGTGCAAGGAAGAAAACTCCTAGTAAAACGCATAGTGGTGGCCCGTCAAATATCCAGATGGTGAGGATGGTATCGTGAATTTTGACGCGATGTGCGTTCGTGAAATTTGGCGGCTGGAATTAAACCGAACAATTCCTCAGAGTACTCCCCGTGGTAAATTCGATAGAAAATGCACAGAGATGCAACATCCCTACGCAGTGCCAGTCAATCGAGCCGATCAGAAAGAATTCGGACGTCGACAACTCGAACCGCTCTGCGCTGGATGCGGTCAAGTGGAAGGAGCTGACACTGGCGTGCCCCGACACAGAGATAAGAGGCCGAATTTGCCCTTTGTAAAGTTGCAAGCGATGTGCCGACATGAAATACTGCCTCGCTCTGCTGAGCACGCCAAGCTTTTTATAGGCCAATTTGGCATTCCCTTCCAAGTGACCCCAAAACTGCACACTATTCGATATGTCGACGCCAAGGATGCCGATGCTAGTTGAAGCAGCAAGGGGAGTGCCTTAAAACTGAGGAGATACGACAAAGGGATTCTTTTTAGCGGTATACGTGCAAATTTGTGTCTTCTGGGGATTGAACTGGACTAGATTTAGCCGCCCTTAATCCGAGACTTTGTTCAGCAAAAAATCGACATCAGACACAAGTTTGTTCCGGTAGCGCCGTGGTAGCTCAGATGGTTAGCGCTCGCTGTAAGTCTCACAGTACGTGAGAAACTCGGTTTCGATCCCCGCCGGCACCAATGAAATTATTAATTTCAATTTTAAGTGCCGATTTACCACGGGCTCGGCGGTGAAGGAAAACATCGTGAAGAAACCAGCATGTCTGAGAAATAAAAAAAATATATCTCAAAGACATATGAATTCGCCAACAAGCATTGGGGCACCGCGGCGGACATTTACTTGCCCTAAAACCCTCTCAGAAATAAGAGGAGGCTTGTGCCCAGCCTTAGGACG